GCCCACTCCGTATCTCCACTGGGGTGTCTAATGGGGGTCCTAGACCCACCCTGTTCAGGCGCGGCCAGACCCATCTCGGGTTCTTCCGGCCCCTCAGGCCAGAGGCGGGGAGCCCTCTGGGATTCCTCTCTTTACCTCAATCCCACACCCAGCCCCATCCGGGGGCCTGGGGGACCTGCCTTCCAAGACCAGCCACATTCTAGCCACGTCTCTGGGCCTCCGCGGGTGCTGGGCTGGCCCAACCTGCGCTGGTAGCACCTGGCTGACTGTGGAAACTCTTACCTGCTTCTACCCAGGTCCCTCCCCCTAATCTCACCGGCTAGAGGAAGTCTATTCACACGCAAGTCACACGAGCCTCCCCTTTACCCAAACCATGCCGAAGGCGCCTGGGTCCCCCCAGACCTTATGAAGCCCGCCAAAGTCCCTGTGCCCCCTGGTCTGGTCTCCTATTACTCTCCACCTCCCTCACTCCACTGCAGCCACACTCCTGCCCCAGGGCCTTTGCACTTGCTAGCTTCCTGCTGAGAGCTCTTCCCCTAGGTGGTCTATGTGGCTATACTTGGAAATAAGACTTCCCTCGTCACCTTATCTGGAAGTGTCCCTTTCCCTTGGCACTTTCCACTAATAACTGTTTGACTCATGCATCTCGCTTGCCATCCATTGGTTCGGCCAGCAGAACGTAAGAGCCACCCGGCTGGAGGGGGGCGGTTTTCTGTGTGGTCACTGCTGAGTGCTCCGGGGCTCCCCGGGGACATGACAGGTCTCAGGAAGCGTGCAGTCAGTGAACGGGTGAGTGAAACGTGTCTCTCTTCCAGAGGGCTGCCCCCAGCCCCTTTTTTAGGCTCTCATCACAGGCTCCAGCACTCCGCTCCCTTTGGAAACTTCTGGTCGTGGCTTTTCTCCGGGCGGTGGGGGGTGGGGTGGGGGTGAGCAAATCCTCTCCCAGCTGACTAGCCAGACGCTGGCCCCTGTCCGACCTGTCCCCACCTGCTGCCTCTGCCCTTCATAATGGACGGTGTGGACACTGGCTCAGTCAACCTCCCGCTCGCCATACCCTGGCCACATCAGCCCCTGCCCCTATGCTTCCCTTCTGGAACCTTCCATTCAACTCTTCCTTTCCAACCACCTGTCCCCCTGGACACCCCCTGGTTGTCCCTGGGAAACCTCGCCTCACAATTAAAACCTCCCTCTCTCTCCCCTAGAATTTCAGGCCAATGCTCCTTCTGTGCCCTTGTCCGTCCAGCCTGAGAACCCCACCACGGGGCTGGGCATTGAGCTTGTGGGGTCCACGAGGGCGGGGGCTGCTAAAGTAATGAGGTGTCCCTTATGCATGTGAGGAACCCCACTGAGATGAGCAGAAGTACAATGCAGACTCGAGGCAGGTGCGGTAAGCCTGGAAGCTTCCAGGCCGTGTGCCCTGCGCTCACTGTTGATACGATTCACTTCGATCCACTTAACAAACGTTTACCCAGCGCACGCTGCCAGCCGAGCACGGGGCCGGGCCCCACGGGAGGCACCCCTCTGCTGCTCCCTGCCTCACCCTCCTCCCTGTCTCTTCTACTTGCTCCTCTGTCCCTGTCAGCCTCTCCGGTTTCACAGCCTGCTGCCCTGTCTACCTACACACCACACTGCAGACGTCCCTGATGGGGTCTGATGGGCAGCTGACCTCCTCAGCATCCACTCTGCCGGTGGCCTCGCCGCCGTGACCCGTGGAAGGGGCACTTCCCGGGGAAAACGCTTGCTCGGGGCCCGGGGCTGGGCGGTGGGGGGTGTCCCGGTGACCAGAACACGCGGGCCCCAGAGGGCGGCAGCAGCCGCGGGAATCCCGTTGTCGGTGACTGCCTCCCACCCCATGCTGGGCTCTTGAACGAGCACATCCAGGGCTCCTACCGGAGACGGCGATGAGGCCCGGAGTGAACACGTGACTGACGGCCGCAGGCCTGGAACGCAGGGTCAGGGCTGGGGCATCATCTTGAACTTGGACTGCCTCTGGGAGCTCCTGGAGAGAGCCCAGCATTCACCTTTGCCCCCTCACCCCTGGAGCTAGCTCTGAGTCATAACAGTAATAATGCCGAGGCGCCTGGAGGGCTTGGTCGGTTGAGCGTCCGACTTCGGCTCGGGTCACGATCTCGCGGTTCGTGAGTTCGAGCCCCGGTTGGACTCCGTGCTGACAGCTCAGAGCCCGGAGCCTGCTTCGGATTCTG